AACTAGGGCTGTGCAATTAATCGTATTTTAATCGCAATTACGATTTTGGCCTGCCACAATTACGAAAACAACATAATCGGAAAAAACAATTATTTAGCTTTGCTAGGTTGTGACAGTGCACTGCAACATATTTGATCTAATTAATTTTGGTCTAATTTATTTGTATTTATCATATTTATATATGTTTAGTAGCTTGTGGAAGTGTGCCCCAAAATATTTGTTGATCTTGTTTATTGGTATTTATTATTTTGATATTATTTATTTAAATGTAGATATAAATGTATCATTTATTTTATTTATTTTTGTATTGGTTTTTCAGTTGAATTATATGTTCAGGGAAATCAACAGTTAAAAAGATACTGTTCAAATTATTATTTGTATTTGTGAATAAATAGATTTTTTCAAAGTCAATGAATAATCGTATTTAATAATCGTGATATCAATTATTGACCCAAATAATCGTGATTATGATTTTTGCCATAATCGCACAGCCCTAGATGGAACCCTAAGATGCATAAGTGGATCTTTTTTTACCCGGTGAGGTGGTTTTCTTGAAGTATCTTTGTAAATAAAAAATGTATCATTTCATATTCCAGCTATTCCTCAAAAAACATGTTTTGGATATCATGCCATTCAAATTTTTAATTTGAATTTTAAGACATTTTTGTTTTTGTATTTCTACCCCAAGCTTCCATAAGTGGGTCAAAAATGACCAATACAATATAAGGGAAGGTTAGGGTGGACTATCAAACTTGATCAACTGGCATGGATTGATGGGGGGTGGGCTATGAGTAGACAAGAGGAGAAGAGATGAGTTTTGAAAAGGCACTGGAATACTGCGAGGGTCTCAGAATAGCGGAGATCTTTGCATCAATATGTTCAAAACATGTCTAAAATTATAAATAGTGAAAAATTAAATATAAAATATTTCTAGTGTGAACCAAAATATAATACTAAATATTATACAAGTGATTTTTCTTAACCAAAATGACAAAAATGGCATAAAAACACATATTATTTTAATACGGGTCCTTTTTGACCCACTTATGGAAGAGTGTAGGGTCCAGTCACTCGTGCATCTAAGGGTTAAATTGTCCAACTATATCCATAAGAAGAAGAATACAAGTAGAAGGAGATGTTTCTCAGGGTTTGACACTGCATCAAACCAAGTGTTGTGAGTTCTAAGTGCAATAAAATACCCTAAATGATGCACTACATTTTGTTATCTTCTTATTACATTAGCTTCTCTGATTTTCCTGTTTTCTCAATCTTTTATGATATTTAACAATGTATTTGTGTGGCTTTGGGAGCCTTGATTGGTTTAACAGACATCTGAATAGGTCTTGTTGGGCTTTGGGAAGTTGTTATCGACTTTCTTTGCACTAAATGTTTGGTCCAGGAAGTTATAAACCAATTAACCATGGATGAAAATGGCAATGCATCCCTACACTAACGCATCACAACCAGACACAAAGGTTTGTGCAAAGATACTATGCATGGGAAACACATTCCTTAATGCCTTATCCAGTTATATAACTTACTGAAAAATCAATTCAGAGAAAACACATGAAAACTGATCCTGCAACTGCTGGCACTTATTACAGTTAAAGTTATTCTTTAACTATACTGATAAAAGAATAACTTATATACATATAGTACATTTACTCCAAGTACTGTTATAAAGTGAAATTGAGGTTTATCGACTTCAGCATTTTTATTCTAGACTTATTAAAGAATTGTACTCCACTACATTTTGAAAGCCTATATTGTACTTAAATTGTAATTTCTAGTTACTTTGCAGATTCATATCACTAAAGCAAAATATAATAAAGTAATAAATTATGTTGCATTTTGTATTAAGCTATCAGGCAGAATAAAAAGTCAAATTAGCTCAATTTTATTAGATGCAGTATTAGTAATACTCACACATATATGCAAAGATCTGAGTAAACTATTCCTACCACCATATATTATTACATTACAACAACTTTAATATGTTTATTTTATTTTTTATTTGGTATAACACCCTGGCCACAAAAAAGGACTGTATTCAGTAGACTTGCAACGAGTCAAAAGAAGTATCTTTAAACATCATATTGTCAATTATTTTATTAAAACAGATAAATATTCACATCATATAATCATATAAAAGCAGATAACAAGCAGTGCCACATGTATTAAAGCATTCACTTACTCGTTTCTGTCGCATCTCAGCTAGCAGCAGGTTCTTCTCTGTTGTTCTTCAGTGACCCTTTAGTGACAGAAGACAACTCCCCGCCCACTGGAGTGACAGACAGGGGTTCCATCCAATCAGCGCTGTCCGTGAGAATTCGAATGTCTCCTATTGGCTCCTCAGATAAAAGTCACTGTCATTAATCCTCTGAGGACCATCAGGTACTGAAGGACCATACAAACCAACAGACGGCAGCTCAGTGAGGATTTGCCCAAATCAATCTAATCCTATTGACACCGATCTGCTGAATGATCACAGTGAAGCAGGATATACTGTTTTGTTTCTGGCTTTGTGAAGACACCTTTTGTCTACTTTTAGTTCAAATTCAAATCCTTTACTCAAATAAAGTATTAATTCCACATTACTTGTGGTATTAATACTTGTTTACAAGCAAAAATCCAGCAGTAAAATATGACTTAAGTAACAGTATTGAAATATAAGGAGGAACAGTAATCAAAGTAAGTCAAAGTTCTAAAAGTGGAAAAATGTCCGCAATGACCATATTATTATTATTCATATTATTATTCATATTACTCATTCTACTATCCTTATAATTTGTTATATAATAAACTATTTTGTATCAGGATGCAACTAATCTATCTTTTCATTAGGTTTAATCAGATGATTATTACTCATTCATTACTTATTCATGGGTTGAGTGCTTGGTGTGTAAACATTCAGAAAAAACACAATTTGTGTTGTTTTTTTGTCCAACCAACAGTCCAAAGTGCACAGTTTTGAAAAAATGCATTAAAATACAAATGTATTCAAAAGGGAAAAGCAATTATAGAGCAGAATGAACTCTCAACCTGAAATACATTAGCGAAAGCATTCAGTGGCTCCAGCTTAATCTGTGTCTTCTGTTTTAATTACTAACTGGTCATATATCAGGAGGCTGTGGCTCAGTGGAAAGTATGATGGACTTCGAATCAGGGGATAGAAAGTTCAAGTCCCACTGCAGTCAGCATGTCGTTGTGTCCCTGGGCAAGACACTTCACCCCAAATTGCTCCTGTGGGGATTGTCCATAGTACTGAATGTATGTTAGTCGCTTTGGATAAAAGCGTCTAACAAATGACATGTAATATATATATAGTTTTATTATTGCATGTTGCCTTTGTAAGTTCACTACATGACCACTAGAGGTCAGTAAAGTCTCAGCAGGAAACCTGATCTGCAGATTATTCTGGTGTCTCTCCTGAGCATATGAAGAGCACATATGGACACCTGTCTGCTGGTACTAGCTGGGTTTTGCTCTGTACAGACACTGAAGTTTAAGGTAGATTCAGTTAAGCTGAAGATAATATGGATGGACTGATTTCCAGCACAACGATCTATGTGTTGTTATTATTAATATAGACTTCAAGTTAGTAAAAAATGAAATGTAGCCTTTATATAATCCTAATAATGTGAGTGTTACCTTGAAAGCTATAACTCTCTTTTTAAATTGGACTATAAATCATTGAAGTAAGAACAAGTATATATTTGATATCCAATTAACATACATTTGAACTCTCACACATGTCTATCAAGTTAAATGAAATAAGTAGGCAAAAGAAACCTCACTGTTTCTCAGCAACACAGTGCTCAATGGTTAACAATAGAGACACCTGTATATCTTGGCTTTGATTTCACAGCTGCAGCAGACATACAGATTACATTAGACTTTTATAGTACAATGAAAACTGATATTTGAGCCAACTTAATCGTTACAACACCTGAGTCTGATTATCACTCTCCTGAATTAGCAAAGCTAATGAGCAAGCTGGCAAACAAGTAAAGATAAAGTAACATTTGCATAAAAATAGAGGATGCAATTAAGCAGAAGGCTGGCCAGTGAAACTAACAAGCGAGAGCAGTGAGGTGTGTTTTCCCTCCCGAGAGTAAAAACAGATCTATTCCTGTGAACTAAAATTACATGTCTGCACAATTTTGACACAAGTGTGAATGTATGTATGGGTGAGGTGAGGGGGGGTGCTGTGGGTACCAGCAGTGGTGCAATGTATTGCAGTACATTTACTTATACTTTACTGAAGAATTTCCATTGTATGCTACTCTATACTTCTCCACTACATTTTGGCCGCCAATATTGTACTTTTTAATAAATGTTTAACAAAATGAGTTACTAGTTACTCTACATATTCAGTAGCAGTATATCAGGTAATCAAATAGCTCCACCTTTACCAGCAGCGATGAACACATAATAGATGCATTATTAATTATAATCCAGCAAAGTATATATATTGAACAATGGGAAACTACGCACATGAAGTACTTCTACGTTTTGTACCTTAAGTATATTTGAATGCCAATACTTTTGTACTTATACTTAATTTTGCATGCAGGACTTTTTAAGTAGCATTTTGTATGCTGGACTTTTTTTTTTCTTTTTTCTACTTTTACTTAAGTAAATATCTGAGTACTTTTTCCACCTCTGGGTACCAGTCCTAACTTTACATTCAGCCCCACTGCTGCCATTCATCTGACACCATGCGTCATTGTCAGACAGGGAAACATGTTGACTCAATTTGGATCAAAAGGGGTTTCACCTCAAATATATTGTTTTAAGTATTTGATCCACTGAGCATCAGCAGCAGCATCACACCAGCGGGGGTTCGTCCTCTGCTACCCGGGTCTTTACTGCTGCTGCCGGCAGAGGGAGGAGGGGGAGGAGGAGGGGGAGGAGGGGGCTCCGCCGGGCTGCCCTATATGGCTGTGGATGAGCTGTATGCTAATATCGTCTTGAGAGGCACAGCATCGCGTTTCTGCCGGCAGTCAGTGGTGGCTTCCAGAGTCTGAGCAGGCTCCTTCACAGCTATGGCTGAAGGCGGAGAAGGTGAAGACGAAATCCAGTTCTTGAGAACTGTAAGTAAAGATAATGTCATGGGTGCGTGCTGAGCCGATTCATAGCGTGCACTTTACGCCAATCAGTGGACAATTAAGTAAAATCGCCGATCCAAGTTGGATTATTGTGGAAGTTTTGGAAAGAAAAGGCATCATCAGTGGTTTATTTTTGACTTGTGCATGAATGGTGTTTTTTTCCCTGGAAGTTGCGGCAGGTTGCCACGGCGCACCTGTCGACAGGAGTCCCGATGAGGGGAATCTCAATGAGACATCCTGTCTGCTGGTGCAAGGGCAAAAATGACTTCACACTCTCTTGCCATTTCCCAACACCTGCCCCCTTTATATTTCCCCACCATTCCTCGCTTTCTGATCTCTCGGGAACGCCTTGTGCACTTGCTCTTTGTTTAAATATTCACTTTCCATGGATGTATTCTGCTCCTCGGTGGGAAGAGTTCCATAAGTTGTGCTCCTCCACCTCCTGCTGATTACTATTTTAGTTGTTTGACGCAGATCGCTTACGCTGTCTCTGCTCTATGTGGTTATGCACAGCAGCAGTTATCCTTGTAAACGATATGACAGCTTGTATGTTGGTATGGTGGGAATATCTGTCACGATGGTATTCTTCTCTTGCCTCATGAAGCTTTGTGACCCAAGGGTTGCATGGAGAGCGATAAGACTCGGTTATTAGGACACATGCACCATAACATGCTCAGCTGGGATGTCTAGTCTCATGCCATATACTTCTGCACTGCACTTAGTTTATTATGCTTTCCTTGAATTTAACTTGGTGTGGCATTGTGTCAATCTTCAAATGTGCTGTACTTGGTTTACTTTGTAATTGGAAACCTTAAACTTAGTCAAAGACCCCCTTATTGATCTCATGGTTTTATAAAGCACTACTTTCTAATAGCATAGCAGTTTGATTTTACATTATGTGTTGGTTGAACTTGTTTTTTGCTATCTCAGTAATATCAATAGTTAGTATAATAAGAATTATACTGGCGGCTATGCATGTTATAGCTAATTTAGTAATAAGGTGTCTATGGTTATGAAAGTTGCATTACAGTCACAACTATTTCCTAACTTACCATAATGTTTAAGCAGTTATATTATTTGCCTATTTACACTTTGTTATATTCACAGTAATGATGATTATTGCAATGTTTTATTGTTCTCCAGCGAGGGGATACTCCAGCAATTTAGTGTAAAACCTCCATACAGTTTTTGGGCTTTTGAGCAGCACAAAGATATCTTGACTTGTATTTAATAGAGCCTACATATCCCAGGATGCAACTTGATATTGACTCTCATTAAACCCATTCACCCGGTGGTCATGAATATAGTTATACTTCCGTTTTCAGACTGTATTATTTCATGACAAGTACATTTTTGGTTTATTAAATGTGATGAACATGCTGGTTTGGTTATCAGTAAATGACGTTCTCTTTGTTTTGGTTTTCCATTGACGTCCATTTGGCCGATAGCCCAACGTCAGTGGGCCCCTTTCTCATGGCTTGGAGATGTTGATATACACACACCGCCATTAATCAATATGTAATCCCAGCAAAGGCTTGGCTGCTTATTAGTGGCAGGCGGGACCCTAACACTTAACAGCTCCTACTATTTGTGATGCCAGTGATATGCTGACCCATGCCTCTCAGATTCAACTGTCACAATGGCATGCTGGTTATTTGACAGCAACAGCAGTTTGAAAGGGAGGGGGTTCCCCTGGGTCCACAGAGGCCTTGTTATCAGATCTTGGTGGTGAGAGAAACGTGCCCTCACAGGAAGTCCTAAAATTGGAGGATTAATTGGAAAAAACATCAGTCTTTCGTGCTTTTTGTTTAACTTCATTGTCGCATTGTTTTAGCCTCTGTTTTGGAAGGAAAACAGTTGCAGGACAAAATGTGCCAAAATGCGCAGCTGTCATGTCAGATGACGTGTTTAAGGAATAAAATTGCAAAGTGTCCTGTAATTGGATACAGGAGACACAAGTCCATGTGTCGAGAGAAGTCCAGATATTGTGATTACATTTCAGGACAGACGCAGTCTCACCTTGCTGTTGATGTGTGACGTTGGGAAAGCTGGCAGCGATCAGGACTTATCTGTCAAAGAAAACTGAAGAAAATGTTACACGTCCACTGCAAGATGGAGACACCAGCCCCCTCTCTAACTCCATAGACACACACTGAAGCTGATATATAAACGTTTAAATAAATGGCAGAACAACTATCATTGCAAAGTCATTGCTCATGGATTTGGAATTACTTATTTTTTTACTTTAGATTGTTTGTTATCTTCAGTTCTGCTTTTGATTGTATTTCAAACTAAATAGATTGGCTTTATGCAGGAATCAGACAACGTGCACGCTCTTTTTGAGTCTAATTGCAGTGTTGTCAAAACATCGTTTTTGGTAATTGCAGTGCAATGAGATGACGTGTAATTACTTGTGGTATTTGTTGGATAGTTACTTGTCGGTTGAGTTGTTGTGCTAAATAACAACATACTTGTCAAAAACAGAAATGAACCTGCTTCTTCACTGAAATGACACAAGAGAACATTTTCAGGTGAATATTTCGTAACCAAGTGATTGTCATGTTTTCTCGGAATTATAAAATGTCTTTGTGGTTAAGCTCCAATAGACCGCTCTATTGTTTTACACCACTTTAAAAGGATGTTATTCAGCTAAAATGTGTTACAGCCAGGGAACATCTGGGATGGATAACATACTTATTTGGGTTTATCAAAAGTTCTTAAAAAATGAGTTTTTCTGCAGCGCTGTTGTGCAATGTTATGATGCTAAGATACTAGCTAAATGTAGCTCATAGACTGAGTGCGCTAACAAGTCAAAGTCAAACCAGCATTATACATCAAGATTAATCTGGAATTTGCAGGATTGTTACATTTAAAGTAATATTAGACAGTTCTTGTGAAAATGTTGAGCTAAATTCTAAGTTAATTGAACAAGTATGGCATGTTTTTATGGCGAATTTGGAGCAAACACTCATTAAGATTGTATTTTTTTAAAGTTTAGTTAAGGAGAAATTATACGTCTGCTTTTGTTTACCTCTGTCTGACATCAAATACTCATTGTTTAATTGTTAACATCACACTGCATATGTGTGAGAATGGAAAGCTTTGCAGGTGTAGTTGCTATTACTAAATGGTCTTAAAATAAAGGTAAAGAAATACTTATTTCATTTTTCTGAAATCCTTCGGAATAATTTGAACTTGGTTGTCCAGGTGAGCTGCTGTTCCACCTTTTTTAAAACCAGGTGATCGAGGCTTGCTCTCCACCAGTTGCTCCTCAGGGCTTATTTGGAGTTTATGTTGTTCTGGAAGCCTTCTGCATACCAAGGCGAGGACTCTGGGGGTTTAAATTTAGCCTTTTTAAAGATGATGCTTCCACAGCACATACAGTACAGCTCTTCTCGCCTGGCACTAACCCACCAGGGGAAGAGCTTCAGTCAGGGGCAGCACAACCAGGGTTTCTTTAACACCATGTTTATAGGGATAAAGTAGCATTTAGAAATCAACCACACTGTAATATACAGCAGTTTGTAAGGCTTAATATGTCAAAGTGATGGACAGTGTTACTGGGCTTTAAAGGGGAACACAGCACATGTTGCACTAAATCTTAAAATGTGTTAAAGTAATGAATGTGGTGCAACTTTGTACATTATATTTATCACATGATCATGTATTCTTCCTTTATTTACCAAGTTCTAACTGATGGTATTACTGTTAATCACATACAGTAAGTCCAATAAATACATAATGCATTTATATGGCCAGAGAAGATTGGAGTCACATTTTCTGACTTTTGAAATGTGAACAATTGTTGAATGGTTTAAGATTTGGATCTTAGACCAAGGTTTGAAGAGTTTTAGCTTATGTTCCAATGGTTGTTGTCATAATGGCAGGATTTAATTGAGCTTCTCTGATGTAATTGGTTGAAAAGTGTATCGAAGTATGAAAAGAGTGGAGTCACATTTCTGTAACAATGTAGAGGAAATGGTGAAAAAAAAGAACGTTGCTTTGTTTTTTAGAAATGATGTCTTTAATTTATTTCTGCAGATGTGGGCAACATGTAATGAAACATGACACCGTTCAAGATGCACTGAAGTAATGACAAAAAATGCTACTAATGCTTTGATAATGATGATTTACACCTGTGGCAATTGTGTCTTCTACGAATGATGTTTATCGTCTTCGACACTGAAAACAGTTTGTGTTATTTTTCATATTATTTTTAAGATTTAACAGGTTTTTATGATCAATGGATTGTTTGTTGTTGTGGTTTTGTTGCCTTGATGGTTTCATATCAAGTCTAAGGGGAAAGCTAAGGGAGGACCATACATGTAACCCATTTCACACCCATTTGTTGGAAATTGAGCCCAGATATCTCCGCCTGGAATCAAAGAAAGTAAGAGGCGTGTGGCGCAGTGAATAGAGCTTTGGTATGGGGGTCAGATGGTCACAGGTTCAAACCCCACTGCAGTCAGCATGTCGTTGTGTCCCTGGGTAAGACACTTCACCCCAAATTGCTCCTGTGGGGATTGCCCACAGTATTGAGTATGTAAGTCGCTTTGGATAAAAGCGTCTAACAAGTAACATGTAATGTAAGAAGCACTATGGACTTGTAATATAGACCTTATGAACCTTTGGAGTCATTCCAGTGTGCAGCATTTACTATGTTGCAATAGTTAATGCTCTTGCAAAGTCTGCCTCTTCATGAGAGTTGGAAAGAGACCGAGGTAGCACTGTCCAGCGGCCTCAGGTGAACCTCCCTCAAGATTGATGTAAATTGAATGGGAAGGATTTCCTCTGCATTGATTGAGCAGGCTGTGATGGCAGAGCTACCAGAGTACCGGCAGCTTTTGGCTCTCTCCCCGTCATCAGCGCTGAAGGACAGCTACCTGCTGCCATCTCCATTATTTAAACAACCTTGATGTAAAGGTGGCAGGACCTCACCTCACTAACTCGCTTTCAAGTGTGTAAATGAGATGCTCGGGGCGGCC